ATCCGCATCAGAAAGCTCGGCCTGAAGCTTGGCCTCCTCACGCAGTCGAGCAGAGACCTTTTCTGTGTCTCTGCTCTTGTTGGTAAATCTCACGGGAGCAGCTGTCAGGAGTACAGGCCTTGTTAATACAGGTTATATCCAACTAATGCTTGCCTGATATTTTTGTTGTAGGCTTCAGGCTCTTTGAAAAAGTCTTAGGTCTTGTCATATAATCATATGACATTAATCATATTCATCATTATTGAACAGCTCATAATCATATTAATATAGCACAGCTTCTTCCAGTTCAAGAGACTCCATGTGGTTTTATGGCCAGCACCATAGAGAAACAGAAATAGACATCCTTTTATTGATTAATACTCATTTTTTTGAAAGCATTTGCAGAGTTTTTCACAAAGATTCAAGAATATTCTTCAGGAACAAATGCCTATTTAATATCTCTGGCTTTGCACATCAGATAGATGCAACTACTGCAATCATTTCTTAGAGGTAAGCCAAGGCACCCATGTCTCAATAATGCACAGCATTACACAAGATTTATCTGTTGTACTTGTCTACATCAGAGAAAAAAATCTCCAAGGAAAGTCCTCATTAGTAATCAATGATCCCTTAATTCCGAATGGCTCCTCTAGGGTTAGAAAGGCCAATCACACCTGGAGTTGAAATTAGCAATCTAAGGCTGTGACCTTCACAGTAGATCTGGTGACAGAATCCACTGACCGACGGCCTCATACCACAGAAATTATTTTGCTGATGTTACGTGGTCCTGACACAGAGCAACTAGGCCAGCAGCTCTCTCTGAACTTCACCCTATTACAGCCAAGTTATTAGCAGGACCCATGTTAATTTATAGAATGTGATTTTGGGGTAGTGTTGGCTGCATGAAAGGAAAGCAACCAGATATGAGTGTAGTCATCACATCACACCAACCGTCCCTTTACTGGAGGAAAAGCAAAGATCAAAGTAAATACCTCTCACTCTCATGTTGGTGCTGGTATCAACATTACCAGCGACAAATTTCACTTCTGCTCCATCATCATTCTTGGTGACATTCTTTATGATCAAGGTGTGAGTGGTTTGGGTCTTCTTAATGATACAGGTCTTGCTTTCCTGTAAGACTTTACCATTAAGGTACCAAGTGCCAGAACATGTTGTTGTAAGGTCAACAGTAAATGTGGCATCCCCTCCAGGTACAACTTCAGCAGTTGTCAGTGGAGTTTTCACAGCCACGATAGGTGCTGGAGAAGAAAACAATGAGATATATAACATGTGTTGGTTTTCTTCTCAGGACAATGTTCTCAGGAGTTAAATAGGGAATGATTAAAAAAAAAATCCTTCAGCACTTATACCATTTGTATGGAATGAAAGCAATACACACTCAATAGAATTTGATTTCTACAGATACATATAACTGACTTCTTATGTTAGTGTAACTCCTTTTTCTGCAGGGACAAAAGAAAGAGCACGTTTTACTATTTTTTTTCCTTAGATTTTTAAGGACATAGCAAATCTGAACCACCACAAGGACCCATAGCAAATATGCTATGTATTTATTAAGCAGTGGTATTCTATTTATAAAAAGTCCTCAGGAGGTCATCCAGCCCAATACATAGTCACTTCTACACATCCTAGGAAAATATAGGCATATTCTGACTGCTTGGAAAAAGGATTGCATGATATGAGGACTCGGCATGACCAAATCTGAGCAAATGTCTTTCCATGCACTAAATTAAATGAAAAAACAATTACACTGTACACAGTGATTGTATCTGCACAACGGCATCCTCAAGATAAAGCACAATCACCATTTTTTTTTCCTAGAAAAACTGTGATTAAAAAGACTGGAACTTATTTTTCCTGACAGGAGAATCACCACAAAAATATTCTCTAGCTGCACCCTCAGTGCATCATTTATATACTAAAGATTATATTGTTACATGTAATTTTCTCCTTTCACTCCAGCTCTGGAAGAGGTATTTACAAGTTTAAGCATTTACAAGTTTCAGATTCATTGCAAAGTACTCCACCTTTCACACAGTCTGGGGGCAAGAGACTGCAGCATCCTCGTGGTTGCAGTCTTCACTCTCACCCTGCATCCCTTCTGCTACATACAGGCAGCGGTTGAAATGAGACAGAAGATCTACCAGTAAAGGAGGTTTTTGTTCACTATTGCTCTATCCTTCCCCTTATCATGGTTATATATCTCTAAACAGTTGGAATGGTGGATCACCACAGACCCATCCATGTTTAGGAGGCATTGTGCTCACCAAGGTGCACGCTTCCTGGGAATTCCAGACAGGGACTCTGTCCGTACGCGTTGACTGCGGATACTCGGAACTGATAATCGGCTTCTTCTGACAGGTTGCTCATCGTGAACTCCAGGTCGGGCACAGGAGACTCATGACATCTCACCCAGGTGAAGCCCATTAGCTTCTTGCGCTCCACTACGTAGCCATCGATTGGAAGGGGACGATCTGTCTTTGGAGGGGACCATGCTAGCGTCACTGAGGTTTCTGTTTTATTTTTCACCACAGGGTCGACTGGGGGCTGCGTGGGAGGTTTTTTAGGAGCTAGAAAGGAATAAATAAAATAGGACAAGGAATTCATATCCGAGTGGAAAATCCACTGAAACTCACTGAAAAAAAAATCAGCTGAGCTTGCTTAAGCAAATGTCTTAAGGATATATGAGGTTAATAATCATTATGAAAACCTTGAGGTAATATGGAAAATCAGAAGAGTCCAAAAATCCCTAAAAGAGACTTCCAGATGGTATTATACCCCTTACATAGAAGTACAATATTCTTACTAACTAAATACATGAGATTGCTACACAACTTTACGCACAATGCATTACACATTAATGTGGCATCCTCTGCAGCAATATAAATCTACTCCCTAAAAGATACCCAGTGCCTGGAGTCCATCTCCTGGACTCCATCCATTTCCTGCCAAGAACCTGCTCCAAAAGGATGCTGGAACATTTCAGCACAGGTCCTCAACAGGTTTAAACATAGGCCAATATACAATGGGGACATTTCAGAGATGCAAAGTAGACATGAATGAGAAAATTATAGGGCACACTCCTTTATGGACATCTCAGTTGCTTGTCGCACAGGCTTGGCCTTTCTCTGAAACCAATTTCACTTGAAAAAAATCTCGCCTCTGTCCTGCTTCTCCATTTTATGCCATTCCCAAAGGCCTTTTGCAGCTATATCTCCCAAGGATGATAGCTGCCTACTGGGGATCTCTGTCAGGAAGGACATTTTTTAGCAATTTATAGAGAGACACCTCACTAACAGTCAATGAAATCCACCTATTGCATGGTATCCTAAGTCGTATATGACACAAGTATTTCTGAAGGTATTTGCATAACTAAGATTTTTGTTCACCTCCTCTGACCATTCTTGAATTCTTCAGAGAAGGGTAAAACCCCATGTCAGTTATTAACTATGAGCTGCCACAGATAAGGGCAAGAGGGTATGAATTATCTGATATGTTCTAGCCACAGATATACTGGCACAATAAATGAAAAATATCATGGCATTTAATTTTGGCTATCTGAACATCAGATGTTTGGTGTAAGCCTATAATCCCCTATAACCTGTGGGTAAAAGCATTCTCAGGAGAAATTCATCCCAGTTTAAAGGAGGTGTGTGAGGCAGGTGAAACAAATGGCACATTGCAGATACTCAGAAATTCCTTGACTTTAGAGGGATCTGTGCAGTGAGCCTACAGTAAAAGCCAAGCTCTGAAACAACTGCTCTGCGCCTCAATTTGCCCATCCGTAAAATGACCGATAGACAAGGAAGGTATAGAGCCAACAAAATATTAATATTGCTTGCTTCATAAATGCTATTAGATCTGCCAACACCAGCTAATCAAAATGGATGTGAACATAGTACATGGGATTCTCCAAGGAGCTAATCTTGCACACCTGGCGTGTAAAAATAGGAAATCTCGATGTGAAAACACTTCTCCATTACGTAAGCAGCGACTTAATTTGGGGAGCACAGTTACTGCTGGTCAGAGTTAGATGCCAAAGGTCCCGCTAGTCTAGCATTAAGCTGAATACTAGACGCTGGAATCAAATCTCCTGACCTTACCATCAGCAAATGTAATGTAATATTTTGTTCAAAAATACTTGCATATGGGAAGGGAGCTTCTTAACTTTTTTTTTCCAGTTACAGGAATCAGCTCCAGCTTCACAACTTGGACAGTGGAGTCAGAAGTCTGACCAAGACTTTGTCTGTCATCTCCATCACAGAGTGCTTGGTGGGATGTGACCACTTTCCAAATACCTTAGAGAGTGGCACAAGCTTGATTTTTTTCTTTTTCCTTTTCTCTTCTGGTTAGTACTTGTAACTTAATAGCACCAGAATGCCCCAAGGAAGCTGAGATTACAGAGTAGTTATGCACCTTCATCTATTTATCTACTACCACTGAGTAATAACAAATCAGAGGTGGTACTGATGGGAGAAAAGTTGACTTCTCTGCAATTCACATAGGGACTGCAGCACAGATGTAAGCCAAATGTAAAAGTACTCTCTCTTAGGAGGCAGCTTTTGCCGGGGAAATGCAGTGCCATCAAAATAGGAACAACTTAGTATAAATTAGGACCTGAAATGAAATTTTGCTGAAATTGGCCCATCTCAATCACACTGCACCTACTTTTAAAACTCAGTCAGCTGAGACCCCTGCTCTGACGAGATTTGTCAGCTGAAGGAATTCTCCATCCTGTGTGCTCTATCAATGTTCCCAACTAAAGCTAAAGAAGCCAAAGGTCCCGTTTTTTAATCTAAATGCATCAATAGGGATCTGTCAGCACCTTTATGTCAAAAAGGGAAAAGAAATGACACGGCTTTGCTGGGTTTGGTGACAAGGAGGAAATTACTTTGTAGGAGGAAGCATCTCTGCTTTGCCTTGCAGGTTTTTACTTTATTCTAAAGCAAGCAGCTTTAGAAGCTAAAAATCAAAGTAAAATGTTTCAAGCTTGTTAAATGCTTTGCTGCACCTGAAATGTGTGGTGTGCACTTGTACAGAGGTTCTTTCACAGGTTTTTATTTATTTAACTTGCTACAATGCAAGCAAGTTTCAACCTTCCCACAATATTCTGGGGCCTTCTCTGTTAAGAGTCAATATTAACTCCCCATTAAGAGTCAACACACCTATCAGGGACCTTTGTATCTCCCAATGCTCAGAACCTAGCAAAGGAACTGAATGTTGGCCAACTCTTACCTCCAAATCCTCTGTGAAGCTAAGAGAATGAGAATTAAGAAGTCCCTGTTTTCTGAAAAAAATCATTAGTCTCATGACAAGAAATGCTAAATGTCCCTCAGAGAACCTACTGCTTTTGGAAAATGGAGCTTGTCTTACACACTTTGATGCAGGCATTTAGGAAATTCATGGTGTGTGCAACAAAGGACAACTGCAATGTATAACTTAAAAATTGCTTTCTAGGCAGCTCTTAGTGGAGAGAAGCCCCATAATCCATATTCTTAATTATCATTTTACATTCATTCCAGACAAGTTCAGAGAAAATACAGGCTATACTCTGCCTCAGAACTTGTCTTCTGTCTTCTCTCCCTAATATCCTATAAAGTTCCCTTTCAGGTAGTGAGCCTTTGGAGCAGACATAGGACTTTCCATCGTCTTTGGCCAATGCACAACTTACCAGGGCACCGTTTGGAGAGAACACTGCTAAGATGGGAGCACCTGCTTGCTGGGGAAAACACAACAGCAAGGCTGAATAAAAATGAACCTTACTAGTCACAGTGAACTGGGTAGAAGTTCTGCTTTCATCCGCCAGGAAGGCAATCTCGCCAGCATCTTCCTTCTTACACTCTCGGATGATCATGGTGTGTTGCTTGCCGGAGCATGTGATGGTGATTCGATCACTGGGTTGCACCTCTTCCTTATTCTTCAGCCAGCGGATCTTCTGGCATTCATTGTCCAGCTCCACACAGAAGACGGCGGTGTCATTTACGTGGACTGCAGTCTTTCGTGGAAGTTTCTTAATGATGTTCCCTTCAAATGAAGAACCAATTAGGAGCAGCCAATGGCAGATATAGAAGACTAAAATCTCTGGTAACAGCAGACCAGTCTGAATATAACAGAACTAGCCAACTGTTCTCACCTAATCAAAACATTACAGGCACTATGCAGATATCCTTAAATGAAATTCTAAACTCTTTGTTACATAGCAAGTCAGAATAGACAACGCCAATCACTCATTTATGCCTTCAAAGAGAAAAAAAAATGTTCTACTTGATTATGGTCACCTATGTTTCTAGTCTAACATGCAGCATCTTCTGTTAAATAAATACAAGGTATGTAGCCTTAAAAATAACAGATTTGACATTGAGGTAGCTTTTGTCTGCATATCCTGGGAATTTACATGAAATCTTTGCTAAAGTAGGTCAGTCTTAGACTAGACAGGTTCCAGGATTTTTTCTCCATCACATGACCAGTACATTATATAACCAAGCATTCAAACATACTGATCTCCTGACATAATATAGAAAACCCCAGATAGTTCTTTTTAGAGCAAATCCAGAAATTTGCATGGAATTAACTTATCTTACCGGTGGCCTTACCAAGTTACCCAGGTGATTATGACTTACAAGAATAGCCTCAAAGTTACAAAATGTGCCCACACCCATGTAGGTTTGGGCAGGAGCTCATCCCTCCAAACCAGAATGCTCTCAAATAACAACGCAATGCTATGACTTTGGAACGAAACGACTCCTTCCAAGACCCACAAGGTCTGTTTGCGTCCAAGCTCACATATCTTGTATTTATTTAACAGAAGATACTGCATGTTAGACTAGAAACATAGGTGACCATAGCTCAGTACAAAGCTGCTTTACACATGTAAATGAATATTACTGTACAGCAGTGAGTGTTTTAATGTAAGTTTCATTATTTTAGGCACAGGCAGGTCCCTCTAAAAACCTTTAGACCAGAACATTGAGCATGATATGTGTTGACTTTATCTCTGATGTGAGCTCCTCATGTGGACTGAAATTTGACATTTCAGAGCCAAGTCTTACTCAATAAAAAGAATATAAGAAAATCAAAGCAATCAAGCTGGAAATAACGAGATTCAGAGGGGTAAAACAAGGTTCTAAAGAAATCTGCCCTCACACATGGGACCTTTCATTCAGGGTTTGCTTTGGGCCACGAGGAAGCACCTTCCTACAGGAGACTGGTTGCAGGTGACTATGTAGTCCCCTCTGAAGACCTAGAAAGTCTGCATTCATCCTCTGTTAAGTTTGGCTCTGAGTCTGCTCCTTGCTGCCCTCAGCGGTGTCCCCATCTCTGCAGCACCACGGGGCTGTGCAACCAGCCAAGCTCTCACATTATCCCTATCCTGCCCTGCTCTCTCAAACCTTCTCCTCGGGGCAGGCACAAGGATCCCACAAGAAGGCTCTGCCTCCTTCCCCTCCCAAGGGCTCCACCTGACTCAGTCACTCTCTTTCTAATGGAACATGCTGTAGTATCATAACACAAACAAGCAAAACAAATACCATCTGTCCTACTGGGGCCAAACAGGCTTACAGTATTTGTCTGGCTCAGTCCTAGCAGAGCTGTAACAAAATGATGTCTGCATGCACTCTCATGTCTTTAGGATAAATTTTGCTTTATGCCTTCTCCCAAAAACACTCTTGTCTGCTTGCTAATGGTACAAAAACTGCACGTATGAAGGATGCACATCTCCCAGTTGTCTTGCAGCAATTCACGTAGTGGAAAACTTCTGGCTGGTTTCAGTGGCAGTAAAGCTGGGCTTTAAATCAGACAAAACAAATGCAGTCCTGAGCTGTTGGAGATCCTGAGCTGTTGCCACAGGTCTCCAGTTCCGGTTACTGGAGTGGAGGATGTGAATCTACATGCACATTTTGCACCAGTCTTTCCAGACTCCAGAGCACAGCTCCTGATGTCCAGCAACACGGATCTTATTTCTGATGAAATCGCCCTGTTGCTGACTGCTGTCTGCACCATGCATCAGACCTTAAAAAGCAGATGTTAAGCCAACTTACCAGGACACTTGGAGCCACTGTCAGACAAATTTACCACTGTGTTTGCAAGACACCTGACAAGATCTGCACGAGGGCACACCAGGGGATATATTTGGTGTTTGGGATTACATTAAGGAAAAGCCACAACGCAAGGTTACAGCTCAAGAATTTTGCTTTACAGGAAGCCACCCTAAGTACAGCGTTCCTCTGCATTATATATTTGCAACTATCGTGCCTTCAACACAATTTCTTCCCATTCTGTGACCCTGTATCCCAGATATATCCTTCCACGAGATCCCAGTTTGCTACTAACCAAACACATAGAGCTCATGTGAGAATTTCAGTGCAAGACCTGGCCTATCTGCTGTAGAAAGACTCTTTCTTACCTTGGACAGACAACTCTGCTATTGTCCTGCTGCCCTCCTTCATCTCGCAGATATAGACAGCGTCATCATCTGTGGTGACATCCTGGACAGTGAGCCGGCGGTACGTGCCCTCTTCTTCGATGTTGTATTTCTTACTCTGCTGGAGTTTGGTTTCCTCCTTGAACCAGGTTGTCTCTGTACTAGGAACAGGCACCTCACACTGGAAGGTGGCAGATTCCTTCTCCCGAACTTCCAGATCCTTCAGTTTTGCTTTGAAGGGTATCAAGGGTTCTTAAGAGAACAAAAAGGGAGAAACAAGAATTTGTGATAGTCTGGGTATGATTTGGCAAATAAATAATTTGTTAGAAAACACTACAACTCCTTATTAATTATATTGATTTGTAATAAGCCACTATTCAAATCCAGAATGAAGAACTTCTTCAGTAGTTTTCTGCTGTCATGCAAGAAAGGAGCCACTCTAAACCACAAAATCTTAGACCCCACCGGAATTATTTTACTTGTCTATAAGTGAACAAGTGTCAACCTGAGCTGTGCTACTTACAAGCAGCACCTCACAGAGGTGTTAGCTCTAATCCAAACAAACATGAATGCATTGGTGCATCATGAGGTTATCAAACTCTGCTCTCCTGGCCAGATTGTCCTCTAAAGCCAACTTCTCTGCATTGCACTCTGTCCCATAGGCCAATGGGATGGAGGGCAGACACCATCCTCTCTGTATCAGAAGTCACTTCACTTCATTATTAGTCTTTAGTAAGACAAGAGTCTTTGGGTGGAAGAAGAAAGAAGGAAGCAATTCTGGGGCAGCACGAGCACTTGAGGTAGTCAGCTGTTACAAGAACCAAAGTTTTATGGGTCTGGGAGCAGAACTGAGCTTGGTGGAAGGAGCTGAAAGGGCAAAGAAAGACAAGAGGCAGCTGCACACACAAGAAAGACACGGGGGAAGGCACAGAAGTAACTGATAGAGAAAAGCACCAAATTTTGGATCAGATTTGTCAATGACAATAAGAGAAATAAACAAATATATTAAAAAAAAAAAAAAGAGAGAAAAAAAGAGAGGAAAAGCTCATGTCTCCCACCTGCCATTTTTTTTTTTCGGCAACTGGGCTCCACTGCTCCAGCTTAGGGAGAAGCCAGAGTGAAGATCAAACAGGCGAAACAGCTGCATGGCAGCGATGGAGAACATTTTACAAACAGAACAATACAGATATCACTTAAATCCTGTGACAGCTGAGCTGTGAGATCATCCTGATAGCCCAGCACCGGCACAGAAAAGGAGGAACTGAACCGAAGAGGGCAGCTTCTGCTCGCAGCCACGGGAGGGTCAGGGAGTGCAGCTGGATTGGCCAGTGCCAACGCACCACCGCCCAGCGCCTGGTGTCAGATCATGTCCTGACACGTGCCCTCCATCTTCTGATAACTACTGCACCAATTTGCAGTCTTCTGCCTCCCTTCTCACTCACCTCCTCAAGCAGATAATTTCACATGCTCACAACGGCTTGCAATGCTAGCCATTAGTCTAAATGTCAGTCAGAAGTGGGCTTTACATTTCTGATTCCACACTTGTATTGACACATCCCACTCAAGTCACCCTGCTTTACAGTCTGGAAAAACACAAATCAGATATCGTAGCCCTAAGCTTTCTTTGACCAGCATCAGTCTCTGCTTTGTAAAATTCAAAGCTGTGTCGGGGTATGTTGCTATAGAGGAAGGCAGAGAAGGGACAAAATGGCCCTTAGTTCTGGAAAAGAAGATCTCATGTGCACACACACAGCATGAAAACCACCTTCCTGACCTGCAGCACTTCCAGCTGGGTGAAGCATGGTTTAAAAGGAGCTTCTCTGGCTTTTGGTAGTTCAGCGTAAAACTGAGTCCACCACCTGTCCCAACCATAAGGAACAGGGACAGCAGGGGACAGCAGGTCCCCTGTTAGAGGGACCAGGCTGTCTTTGGTCTCCTTAGTTCTCTTTTGAGCTCAAGCCCTGGAAAGTCAACATTTGGGCTTACAGACCCCTCATCCCACCCCTGGCACAGCCAAGACTGCAGCTGTCACCCAAACAACTCCTATCATCTCTCAACAAACGCAGCCTGAACTGCCCTGACAGGCAGCCAGAGTCCGACAGGCACGAACAGGCAGCACTGCTATCTGCTATCCTGGTTGTTATCCAGAGATTACAACCTGCCTGGGAACCTGTAAAATACTTTAGGAATAGCTGTGTGGCTCCAAATCAGTGCCTGCTGTTAACCTATCTTGTCAATGTGGTTATTTTATTGAAAGAGTTCAGCTCTAATGTGCCTCCTTAAAGTCCTATCTAAAAAAACCCTTCAGTTATAGTAACACAGACCTGCTCTGACCTCCCTTGGTGCATTAATTTTCCTCCTCTCTCTATCCAACATGCAGGTTGGGCTTCAACCTCACAATCCTGCATATCACCTCTGGAAACACCTCATGTTTCCGAGGGAAATGACGTAACACTCGTGACACGGGACCAAGAAAGAGGATGAGACCAAGAAAGCATTTATGAAAAGGATGCCAGCCTCGGGGAACTGGATACAACGGTGATGTATGAGGCACAAGGGAATCTGGAGCAGGCTACGACACGCCAAAGGGCTGGAAGGAAATAAGAGATGTGCAAGGGAGGCACACAAGCACGCTCTGTATTTGAAGCAATCAGTCACCTCATTAACCCCTGCCCCTTTGCAGCCACTGGAAAGTATCTGAAGTAAACAAAGCAAAAAGCTCTTCACTGTGCAAACACTGTACAAAAGTCAAGGGAAGATCTGTGAAAGGTAGATGGTTGATCTTCCTTGTTAGTAGACTAATAAACATAGTCTGAATATACAACCATGTAATATTTACATAAAAAAGGTATGTTCTCCTGGCTTTTCAACTTAAAGATGATCCACATTACTAGTTAAATGCGAAAGCAAACAGATATACTCATTCCCCAGTGGCCCAAATGGTGAATTGAATAGAGAGGTCTCTTGTTACTCTCTTTCAACCCGTGTTGGTCTGTAGCCTCTCTCATCTTGACAAATTCTGTAATGTAGGCATACTCTGTTGCCCATTTTTGCAGCACCCAGCACAGTAGGCATGCTGGTCTATGGCTGGAATTAATATATTTTAATGTTCCCATTAGAAATTATATAGAAATATTTTCTGCTATGACTAATGTAGGCACACCAAGAAGAGTTCCTGCAGATAACAACATTTATCCCTTATCCCACATTACATGCTACATCATAATACATAACTACTGATTGCTCATTTCTAAATTAATCATACATTATGTGTTTGCAAGGCATTTATAAATGGAATCTCATGTTAAGCATATACCAGAGAAGATAACACCCTTTGGCTCCCTACTATTTTCCTTATTTTTCAAAATTTTCCTAACATCTGAAAATATCTTCAGAAGATAACCAAAAAGTGCACTCAGTTGATGTTACATGACATAATTTTCAGATTAAAAGTGTGGAACTATGTTTTTTTCTGATCACTTCTCACCAATCATTTGTAGAACTAGATATTTCCATGAAAGTTCAGAGCTTTCAGTTGGGATGGCAATTCTGATTTGCTTGCTAACAGCTAGGCTCCAATGCATCTTTTCAAAACTCACAGTGCCCCAATAGTTCACTCAAATTCATCTCTAGTACCATTTCTTTTGTAAAATGATGAGATCTCTGCAATTTAATTATACACATTTTCCTATTGATCTGATTTTAGCCAAAGCAGAAATGCATATGAAGCCATTAATGTAAATCCTAAAGAAGCACTTAAAATATGAGAGACCTACAAAAAATTCTAATTGAGAAAAATATGAGATGGAGACAGCAAAGCAAAACAAAACCCAGAGCCAGTGTAGAGCAGGAAAAGTTCATAGAGTCAGCGGGAGGCTACAAGTCCTTAGACCAGCTATGATTTTGGCCGCTTATTTTGAGAAAATATCTCTCCAGACCGTCATACGTTTTTGTTTGGTCCATACCAACCAAACTAGCAATGAGATGATGTAATTTTTCAAAAGCGGGTCCTGCTAACACATATTTTGCTAAGAACAGGTGCAGACTGCAAAGAAGCCAGTGCCTCCATCTCTGACCTGGTCTTTTCACCTGCCTGCATTTCCTCCTGCCTGCTCCGGGGCTTCTCATGGGCTGACCATTTATTACTCCAGAGTCAAGTTCTTCATCTATCAGATAAAAGTGATCTAATGATAGAGAGAATGTGGAGAATCTTTTCAAGGCAGGCAATCTAAAGCTGCACAGAGAACCTTCCAACCTTTGGTCTTCTTATCATTAATGGTGGGTTCCAGCTCTGCCCTGTGCCTCCCTATTTCTCATGTCACAATTCATTTTCAGATTTCCAGTGTCTGGAATACTGCTATGACAGCGGTCACCCAAAATCACGTCAGAGCAGAGGAAGGAAGAATTGGCCTCAGTGTTAGTCTGTTTTTCCATTCTTTATCCAATTTGACTTGCAACCTTCAACCTTTACACACAATATCTGATTACTGAACAAGTCCCTTTGAATTCAGGGACTCAGTCTCAAATTCCGTTACTCTGATGAAGCTCCCTTGGGCTGGGCCCAGGGATGGAGACCTGTACACTGCTCTTGTTAACTTTACAAACTGCCTAGGGTCATCACCAAAGCCTTGATTATTATTATTATGAAGGTTTTGGTAGGCTTTTGGAAGGCTTTTGGCTTTCCTACCCATGACATTATGGGTATAAGCTGAAACACAGGAAGCTCCACCTGCATGTGAGGAGGAACTTCTTTCCTATGAGAGTGACAGAGCAGTGGAACAGGCTGCCCAGGGAGGTTGTGGAGTCTCCTTCTCTGAGGATCTTCCGAACCCGCCTGGATACCACCCTGTGCCACGTGCTCTGGGTGTCCCTGCTGGAGAAGGGGGTTGGACTAGATGATCTCTAGAGGGTCCCTTCCAACCTCAACCATTCTGTGATTCTGTGAACTTCATGAAATTTAAGTCATTTACTCATGCTCCTGACATCCTCTCTGGGTTTACTCTTTGGAAGCATTTCTTCACTTCTTTTGCAGCTTGAATTTCAGCATGTGGCTTGTGTTTTTATCCCTGCTGAAAACACTAGAATCCCACACATTTCTGAATCAGATTAAATTGCTCTAGGTTTTCCTTATTCGTGAGAACAACAGTCTGCCCTGTAGTCTCTCCTTGGAGTTCTACATTTGATCCACTATATCTCACTTAGGTACAGCTCAAATATCTCTTCCCTTTAGCTCAGTGACCTTGAAGTGCTTACAAATGTGCTGGGCTCCCCAGGCCTTGAAACTAGATTGACAGTATCAGAGGAAAGACTAGAGGAGATCTGATCTGTGCTCTGTCCTGCTCCTGGAGAGGTCCCTTAATAGCCACATTGAGATAGGATGCTGGTTGGCTTGGCCTTTATGCCCTTATCTTCAAACAGAGTCATAAATACCCTCATTCAAATTCTTCTGTTTAAGCTATGTGCTGTGTGTGAGTCAGAATCCTACATGCTTGTCCTCCCAGAAATCCGTATCTATGGACGTATGCTCGGGAAGCAGTACCACAGGCTCTAAAAATAAGCTGTTACCTTTATAAAGACCAATGCTGCAGCATCATGCTGACAGAGGTGGCTGCCTGGAGAATTTAGCATCTTCTGCATTACTGAGCAAAGAGAAGATTGTTTGGCAAGATGACCTACCCCCCAAAACATGAGGGCAGGTGAGCAAATAACACATCACCAAGGGCATAAATAGCAGATTAAAAGCTCCCTTTGCAGCTGCATCATTTGGAGCTGTGTCTTTGAAGGGCTGAGAAGGACTTCTGGTGGCACAAAGAAGAGTCATTATCCAGGGCCTAATTATAACCAACACACACATTTTCCATGGCTGTCTTGGCCTGGTCAGAAAGCCTAACATGGCTATAGCATAACAAAGAAACAGATCATAAACATTTCTGCTTTATCCCTCTGACTCACAGATGTCTCTCAACAATGGACATTGATAAATAACCTTTTCCCGTGATGCTTCATCCTGGACCTGCTGCTTTGCATGCTTTTCCCATCCCCTTTGGAACAGATTGAACCCACTGGGAACAGGCAGATAAGCACAGGCCCTATGGAGATACTGCAAGACAGTCACTGGGCATAAAACAGAGCCAGGATCAGTCTTTGCCGCTGAGTCCCATCTCATGAGGTAGTCAAAGCTTCGTGGAAGAGGCCAAATGCCTTTCCTGACACCACTCAGCACCTCCCAGGGATGGCAATGAGTGGGACTGTTGCCAGAGAGCTCCATGGATCAGGTGTCTCAGATGGACCCAGGGAATAAGTCACCGATGGAAAAGACAGCGAATGTGAGAGGAGAAGTCCAGAACAGGGAGAACAGAAAAATCAAAGCGGAGACTTTTGAAGATGAGTATGAGACACAGAGCCTTCCTCCTCATTTGAATTTCTACAGTATTTTGCTGTCAGTCAGAATAGTCTATTTTACCACTTCACTTACAGAAGCAAAGCTTTCTCGGCTGAAAGTTAATTTATAGGTGTTGCCTGACACCTTGCCAAAAGAAGACCAGCTAGGATATTTAGAACTTCCTTTGTAAAAATATTTGTGCCACATTTTTTTCTGCAGCCCTGATTAATTTGATCTGACCCTTGCCAGAGTTGGGCAAGGGACTCTCTGAAGGCAACTTCAGATTTGCCTTATCATTACTGACCAGGACAGAGACATCCTGAAACAGGCACAAGCTGGAAGAAGGCTCAGGAGGTCTGGAGAAAGCAGGAGTTGGGGTAGGTCCCCAAGGAATCTAAGGCAGCTTCACATACTCATCTTGCAAGGAAAGGGAGCTTGCAGCTCTTCTATGTAATGTTTGTTTAAACCCTGGAGGGTAGGATGGGGCTTTTGTAGTCATCGAACCAAAGGATGGCAACAGATTTCTCAGATTACCCTAAAACCAGCCTGGAAAAAAGCTTTAAAGATCTAATCCATCCAACTGACTCACAACAAGCCAGTTCTGCATCATGTAACCATCACTGATGCTTGTTTATGATCTCCCTATACATTGCCAATGATGACACTCTCCCTTCTCCACAGATCATCTTTTCCAGTGGCTAACGCACCAAATTCACATCTCCCTTGCAGTTTTATGGCTGAATCTCTGCTTATACTCCCTGCGACCAGCCAATAAACCTCTGCAAAGGAAGAAGGTTCAGAGGAGATGGACAGAAATAATGTGCCCATGAAGCTCATGGAAAAATAGGCAACTATTACAAAGAAAATTTAATGTATCTCAGCACAGAGAAGAATAGGCAACTATTGCAAAGAAAATTTAATATATCTCACTACAAAGGAGACTTTCCTTTAGATAAGCAGTTCTATCAGTTGAGTTAATTCTATTACAGTAGACCAATTTTTGTATAAATGTTTCTTCCATGAGTTAATCTGAAGATTGCAAATGTTTCCCTTAGTTAGTCATACCATCATGCAGGGACCCTGTACATGGCTCAGCCAAGCATGAAGTATAAAAAAACAAACAACTAACAGAAAGAATTTTGAAGAAAACAACGGGCCTCGAGCTGGTTTCAACCCACGTATTCATTCCCAATGATTGGGGATGTCCATGGTTGTGATGGTGAGCATATCATAGATACACTCTGTTTTTTCACTCCACTAAATCAAAACGCCAAATCAGTAAAGTCACTATGAAAATTGGTGTTTAAATTGAAATAAAGTCAGAATCTTCAATGCTTACATTTCAAGTTAAACATCACATCCTCCATGTATGAAATATGTAAAAGCACCTGTTCAAGGATCCCTGGACTCTGACACTCCCATTTGGGAGCGCACTGTTTTTTTCTCCAAGCAAGGCTGCCCGCACCAAAGAGCAAATTTAACCACCCACCTTTGACAGTGACCAGCACAGAGCTGTAGGTCTGGCCTGCCAGGTTGGAGGCTGTGCAGGTGTACATCCCATTATCCACCTGCTTGCAGAAGAGGATCTTCAGCACAAAGTTCTCCTGGTCATCCTCGTAGATGACATGCCGCCGCCCTTCCACGATGACCTCGTCGTCCTTTTTCCACACGATCTCCGGCTTGGGCTCTCCCGTCACGTAGCAGCTCAGCTTGGCGTGCTTGCCCTCCGTCACGCTGCACGTGCGCATCAGTGTCCCAAACGTTGCGTTGCGGGCCCCCTTGCCGGTGAGGCCCGCGGCCCGCTCGTAATCCCGGGAGAGGCCGTAGCTGAAGGCAGACAGTCCTTCCGTCATGGAATATGGATGAGTGGACAAGGCATCATGGACAATATCCGTCTTCCTGATCTCCTCCCGCCTCTTCTGCAAGTGGGACAACAAGGAGACGGTCTTGCTGCAGCTGGTGTCAAAATAGTTGCTGCTGCCCGGGTTATGGGAGCCCTGCGTCTCCACAACCAGTGCAGCTGAAGCGCTGGCAGAGCCGATGGGGTTCTCTGCCCGGCATGTGTATGTTCCACTATCCCCAAGCCGGGCACACTGGATGGTGAGCGCATTGGACTCTCCGGCACTTTCCATCTGGAAACGGTTGGCATCGGCCCGGCTCCGCAGGTGTTTCCCATCCTTCTCCCAGTTCACAGAAAGCGGCGGGCTGCCTTGAACTTTGCATTTGAACATAGCATCTTCTCCCAGAGTTACTTTGATGGAGGTGGGTTTCTGGATGAAGTATGGGGCTGACTCTGTCACTGTGGTCTCCTCTCCAACTTTGATACTGACGGCTGCAAAAGCTTCCCCAATGGTGTTCTTGGCCCGGCAGATGTACTGGCCACTGTCCTCTAGGCTCAAATCATAGATTGTTAATCGATACAGATCCCCATCCTCTGTGGTTTTAAACCTTCCTCCAGACTGGACTGGAAGTTTATCCTTTTCCCAGCTCACAACCGGGATGGGGTTTCCAATGATCTGGCAACTCAAGGTGGCATCCTTCCCCACAGACACCATAAAGGCCTTAGGCCGGGTCAGGAATCGGGGGACTCCACTAAACGAGCTGTAATCCATCTTGGCTTCCTGAAGAGGGAGAAAGAAAAAGAGCAAGAGAAAGCAGATTAGATAGCGGAGGCAAAGATCTGCTACACTTTTATGATATCAGGATGCTTGTCATCCAGAGCAATTCAGTTGGGTGATATTTTCATTGTCCCTCACGCTGCGAGTGAAAAGGTATTGGAATATTTTAGGTCTTAAGGATTTCTCAGATTTCAGCCTAGTGAAGTGAACCTGCTAACAGAGAAGGTAGCTCACTTCCCCACAGGGATCACAGGGCAAAATGTATTTTGGGGGAATTCATACAGAAATAACATGATTGTGCCTTTTAGCCTTAAAAACTTGGCACTAGTGAAATAAGCAGCACTAATGCTATATAATATATAATTCTATATAGTATATGGGCTAGTTTCATAATCATTGAGAAACAGACAGACATTATATTGATAGATGTGTCTGTGCACCAAGACACCTCCTCCTTCATACTCATCTCCTCTTCTGCTCTCTTTTTCCACTTCATTTCCCTTACTCTTTTCAGGTTTTTTCCGTTCTCCTTTTTAAATTCTGTTCATGTCCTTTCCCTTGTTGCTGGAGTGAATCTACTTCTAGGCCTCCAAAAGCAGAAGCCCTTTTCTGTGCATTGGCTAAGTTAAGTCCAGCACAGACAGAGACCCCATTAGCACCAGCAAGAATGCACCAGTCGAGTTCCCTTGGGAGTCCCCCCCAGCTCCAAGGCTCTCTGGAAGTCTCTTTCAGACAACCAGAGCAGTTTTGCTCACTGTATCTCCCTGGCCTTATAATGCCAGACATTCCAATCTCATTAAGTTTCTCCCCCTAATCTACACGGAAGCTCTCTCCTTGGGTGGGACCTGCAATGCTGCTCTCCTCTGTGTGCTTTTTTTCACCTTCAGAGTGCCACACAAAGCAAAATGCTCAGGGTGCTGCATGTTGCAAGTAGCTCAGAAGGGAAATAATAATCAGTCACAGCGACAGAAATATCCTCCTTAATCCTGCCGCAGTTTGGCTTCCTCGCTGACCACAAATCTACCCACTCTCTCACCCAATGACAGATGCCCTCACAGTCTCCCTCCACCTTCAGCAGAAGTTGCTAAGGGCCAAAAAACCTGCAGTTCCTTTTCCTGATGCCCCCTTTGGGCAGTGGTTTCAGCACTTTCTCCATCCTCCTCCAATTCCCGTTGCAATGCATTAAGGTTAATGTGAGGCAATGGAGTGGCAGCTGGCTCTGCTATTGACCTGCTGTGTGACCTTGGGGAAACTGCCCGTTTTCCCTGTGCCTTGGCTTCCTTCCCGCACGTTCTTCACTTCAGCACAAGGAGTCTCTCAATGATATGCACAGTGTACACGACAATACGTTTGCAGGGGTATAGGATAAACCATGAGTGAAAATAAAGAGCAAATTACAAATTTCCATTCTATTTATTCCACTGAGGATTGAAAGACTCACAAGTGACTGAAAAAAATAAATACTGGGAAAGTGCTGCAAAAATCCAGCATGAAATTCATTGTAATCATTACCATTGAAGAAGGTGTAACTGAACTAACCTTCGCCATTCACGTAGGCCACAGACAACATATAAGGCAAATAGAGTCATCTTTTTATGCTTAGGAAGAAAAATACACTCTAATTCCTATCTTATGCTTAACACTCCAAAGACTGTATGAAACTCTTAAATAGTTGAGGAAAAATACAGTGCATTCCATTCGTAAGCTTTACTACTTGAGATACAGAGATATTATTCCTTTGGTCTCAAACCAGTTTAAATCTGAACAGAGTTTTCACCTCCTGATCACCCTTATTGCATAGGAGCTCTATCTTCACATAAGCCACCCAGCCTCTGTCTACACTTATTTTAAAAAATATATTCCATAAGTATGTGCAAAATTGCAAGAAGAGAAGCTGCACGAACGGATAGAAGATGCATATATGGAGGCCTAGGACTTCAGCCAAAGTACATAGAACTAGGTGCAAATTTGTGCTGAAGTCTTCCGATGAAGTCTAGAGTCTTCTGCTTGTTTGGGGCAGTAGTACTTTAGTGTTCTGTGGGGGCCTCAGGGATTCTGGCTCCAGCAGTAACAACAGTAACTAAGAACTGATGATCAAAAATGGACCCAAAACTTGCATCCCGATCTTGACCATATTTTACCTGGGATTTCAGACTGCATCATGTCAGCAAAGTATTTGCATCTGTTCAGAAAGTACAGCGTTGCCTCACCTGCCCCAGCTCCCTGGTAGTTTCTGACAGACAGGTCATATGGACTTACTTCCAGCTTCAAATCCATGATGTCATAAAGAGCCAAAAAAAATGTCAAAGTTGCTTTGCTTCTTCAAACTAGTGTCTCTGCATAAAACAGAGAGTGTGCAAAGCGCCAGGGACATGAGAGCTGCCTGACCCTGTGCAGCCTTTCAGCAAGCAGCGACTTCCTCCAGGCCAGCTGGGTGCCTGAGCACGGACCTCCTTGCTCAGACACGAGGAGAGCTCCGTGCTGTGGGTGTGTGGTGGGCACGGACATGGTGAGCACGGGAATGCCGCGCACTTCCTAAAGCCCTCGTGCCTCCGCCTCGCCGGCCCTGCTGGTGCTTCCCATCCGCCCACAGCCTGCGTGCCTGGTACATCCCTGCTCCGAACAAGCGGCTTGCAGCCATTCCTCGGTGTCTGCAATAGTCAGCGATGGTTGAAACACAGGGAAGCTGCTGCATCCTGAAGGATGTCATCAGGTCTGCTGCATCCCTCAGGACACCGCCAACCTCACTGGTGCAACACATCCAACCGAGACCATTCTTGCCATAGCCTCAAGCTCCAACTTCCCTTTCCAGTTCCTCCCAAACACTTTTTCAATGTTTGCAGCTCATTCCAAAAGGTTTAAGCTGTTGAGTCCCAGCAGACACAGACTTGCTGGTGCAAAGTCAAGGCTCTCTGATGCAACCTTGCACCTGGCTCTCTACCAGCTTTTGCCATGCACCCTTCCACTCAACTGCTCTTATGCCATCATAAACAGCCAGGATATCAAAGGATTGAAAGGACTGATAATCTTCAGGGATTAGTGAAAACAGCGTGCTCTTCAGTATCCTTTTTTATTAATATCTAATACATTTAGGGAGAAAAAAATATTCCTTCCTCCTTTTGTAACTATGAGAAAGGCATTAAACTCCTGTATCGTCAGTCCCCGCCTGAAAAAGGGCTTAAAACTTTGCTTCCCGTGGTGCTGAGAACATAAAATCCAGCAACAGGCATGAAGTCCTAATGCTGCAAGAATGAAACCACATTAGGTGTAACAGCTAGGCAGATTATGCAGTTTAGATATAGTTTATCTAGTCCAGTCTATTTTATAGATTAGACTGTAAAAAATACATCATAAAGAGATAGATTAGGAGTTAGAGAGAACGGACAGCCTTGCGGGTGTATTCCTGAAAGGGCAAGATTTAATTTTCTTTAAATGAGTTGGTAAACAAGCTCATTCAGATTCTATGTACTCATACTCCAGATCAATTTTACAAACTTAAAACAAAATGAAAACAAACAAGCAAAAACTAATAAAAAACTCAACAGTTGTCTTGGAGGCAGTCAAGCTGATAACAAAACATGAATAAGCCTAGTTGACGTAAGCACCCTTTCCAACCCATCTCAGACATTTTACCATATCATATTTCTGCTTCTAATGTCACCACGATGCCACCACAGCAGAGGCTGCAGATTATTCTCTGCTGAGGCCTTTCAATCTGATGTTTAGAAGGGAAATCCTGCCCACCATGACTTCGGGCAAAGGGCAAAAACACTGGGTGACCAACCTCATAAAACGTTCTCAAGACAAGCATGACTACATGTCCATGAGGTTCGCTCAGATACCACCTAAAAGTTGGTCATGTGCTTGTTTGTTTATTTTCTCAGTTTCTACTCTTTCTTTGCCAAGTCAGCAAGCTGTTGGTTTGGAATCTTTTTCTCACTTTCAGAGTCCATGTTTCCTGGACTTTTTGCCCAGTGACAGTTGCTACAAACTGGCTCTCCTCTTTCTCAGGAGATGAAAAGTAAGAATCTCAGGGGAACGTCTGACTCCAGGACATGGATCTTGCAAAGAAAAATGCTAAAACAGAAAACTTCAGATAAAATTCCAGACAACGCTGTCATTTCTGTAGTCTACATGCTGTAACTACATGCACCGTTCCGTCTAAAAATGCCAGGAAAATACATGGAATATCTGCAGATGGGAAGTTGATAGATCATAAAATGGAAAGCACTGATTTCCTTCGATGTTTGCAGAAATGCTGCTAAGAGCAAAATGCAGTAATCCAGCCGCCTGGTTACTTCTCCGTCTCCCAGGTAATTGGGCTAACATTAAAACTAAATAGCCTTATGCATTTGGTGCCAGCTGCAAGTTTGATGGCTCAGTTGGGCCCTCATGGTTGCCTACAAACCAGCACATGAGACAGACAGCTTTAAGGGTGAAATGCACACCAGCACACCCATTGCTGTACGCCCGTTACATCTCTAAACCAGCTATAAGTAGAGGTTTGCACAGATGCACTAATCCGAGACGGCAGTTTATTTGATGCCCGTTTCATCAGGGCAGAACCGTATCCGCCACTGAAGAGCTGGGCTCGGAGCTTAGCTCGGGCTACTCTAAATTCCACTTCAGTGAGGGACGGCAGATGCTGGCATGTTCAAAGGTCACTTGGTGAGCACATGAAAGGGCTGTCTGGGGTGGTTTGGGGATCTGTCTCCATACCCTGAGGAGTGTTGCAGGACACAAGAGACTCCATGAAGCTGCAATAAACTCATCTCATTGCAATAAGTTATGTCATTGCAAGTTTCTAACTCATTTCAGAACCGGGCTTATCTAGTACCTCTATTTCCAGCCATAGGGGGAAAGTTTTGCAGCTGGCCAATGGCTAACAACAAGTGATGTTAAACTTAGGGGTATCACTCAGCAAAATGATGACTAATGCTCAAAACAAAACAGTCTTTCAATGGTGACCTTGATCTAGGGCTAAATATGCACCA